CAGTTGGCGGCTCAGATGCAGTGGCTATGGGCTGGCTAAAGTTGGGAAATACCACAAATCCTGTAGTGCTTCAAATCTGAAGCACCAGGTTCCCAGATACGAGGCCAGGCAGCCCATGCCAAGATTTTTGGGAGTGCTCCTCGCTGCACGTGACAACTTGTGAGCTTTGCAATCTCAGCACCACATTTCTGACTTGTGCAAGGTCAACCACACACTTCCAGCAAATCTTTTGCTATTGCTGTAGGCTCCAGAAGGGGACTAGGAACATGCTGGACACTGTTTCTTCCTGTCCTTCATATGGACAAATGAATAGGGTAATTTCTGTCAGCTTCTTGGAGCACTCCAGTGAACATTAGATGAAGTGAGAGACCACTGTTCATGGTACTGCTGCATAGATTATGAACTAGCAAAGCTGTACTTCCACCTTTGCCTCAGGTAGGTTTGAGAGATATTAAAAAAGCCCCAAACAAACAAAAACAAAACCCCCAAACCAACCAACCAAAAAACCCCAAACAAACATAAAACCACTAACTTCAATTGTACATAGCTTTGAAGCTTTGGAATATTAATTTGGTTAGATTTCGAGAGTTAAAGTTGACCTATGCTACACTTACTCCTCCAAATACACAGTTTTCAACTTTTCAGTTTCTTTACTGTTTCAGTCCATTGATTCTGCCTGCTGTACTACCCACTCGTTGGTGATGCCAGCTTTTAAGGCTGCATCTCTGAGACTGATCATTAGCGACACATCTCACTGGAGATTAACAAGTACTATACCTGGGGTCCCTACAGCAATCTTCTTATGATGAACAGCTTCAAACTGAGGTCCAAAACTGTGATACTTTGACCCAGAAGATCAGAAAGTACTGGAAAACATCCAAAAGACCTCACAACATACACATAATAAAACAGATCGATGATTCTACTTAATCTTTTTTTCACAGCCACAAACAAGACTGTCCCTGCCTAAATTTTTGGTACCCTTGTAATCCTTACTATCATACAGCAGATGCCCTTATTAAAGACTCTGAGAACAGACCTTAATATGTTTTCATTGTTTCTATTTGGTTTAGGTTGGAAACTAAAAGCTCTTTAGGGTAAGTATTATTTTATTCTGTTTGGATATTTTGGATAATGATAATTTTTTATTTATTAATGCTAATTTCTGATAATGACAATTTATTAGAAATGGTAATTTCTAATAAATACTTAGGCTCTCCGTCCAGATCCTGCAAGCACTTTTTCCTCAAACAGTGCCTTGCAGAAACAAAGCTCCACAGCAGAGTTACCTGGAGAAGACCTTTGTCCCGTCCCCCCCCCCCCCCCCCCCCCAACTTCTGAGCATGCTTTCAATAAACATACACCTGTGGTAGTCTTCTATCAGGTAGAAAGGTCTTATCTCCAACTGTCTGTATTACTGTTATTATCTCTGTGTTCTCTCATTTCCTCCCTAAACCAGCCACTTTTCCACCTTCACTTTTTCTTTTAAAAGCTTTCTGTATATTAATCATCATTCATCTCCAATAGATCTCTGAAATATTTTAAAGTTATTAGAAAAAACATAATGCAGTATTTGAAGGGAGAATATACTTTTTTAAAGTACATAGTTATAACACTACTACGAGATCTTCAGAATTACTTATTCCTGCCTGCTGCTGTAAGCAGAAAAAGATTCAAGGTTATAAGCATAAAAAGAACAACACAGCAGAACTTTTCATCTTTGTTGCTTTAATGCCTCAGTGTTATTAAAAAGTGGCCAGGGTTACAGTGCAGAGACAGAAAAGGTACTGCCTGCGGTTAGCTATAAATAGTTAAATTCTACTTTAAGCTGGTTTGAGGGGGAATTCTATGTCTTCTGGCTAGTGCTTTCAGAGCAAGCAAAGGGATGAGGGTGTTGTACCAGAAGAATTACTCTGTTATCTTTAGCTTAACAAACTTTCAGGCAACTAGCAACAGAGCAAACAGGCACCTGTGTGCTGAACACAGTGCACACCAGGGGGGTTCAGAGAAGCAGTTACAATTACTCCCAGTTCCAATGTGCTAGCGCTGCACCATCACAGCGTGTCTCCAGGTGCAAGACACAAGCCTACCCCATAGGGACCGCACTGGCTCGCCTAGCAGGATGCAGCATACACAGACCCTAATCTCTGGACCTACTCCTGTGCTCTGGCAGCTCCCCAGAAATATGCTGGAGCACTGCCAGTACTGATCCTGCTCACCAGTGCTTAACTAGGACTCTTCACCTGAGCAGCTTCTGAGGAGGAAAGCAGTCCAAACCATGACATGCATTTAGCAGTAACAGTACTGTTTCCCAGAAAATGAGGAAGCAGCACGTGTTACCCTCTCTCATATATATCATGACAACAAGCAAACAGCTGATCTAGCTAATGAACCAGATACTCTCTTTAGATTTCATCTTTGACAGTGTTTACTTAATATAATTGTATTTGTTCCCAACAAACACTGAATTATTTCCTGAAGTGGCTGTTATGGCTATCTCTTCCTCCAGCCAAGGCAAGGGCAATCAAGGCAGCATACTGCTTTATCAAGGGCTGGACTGTAAAAACCTCTTATGACTCCTTTACTGCAACACACAGCAGCTAGAGAAGATTTCCAAATTAGACCGCTCGTGTGAATGGAGGTTGATACAAGGGATCAGCTTAAAAGCCTTTGAGCGAATTCTTTCAGGCTTGTGACAAAGGACAGCATGATTCATTACAGCACCTGAATAAGTTGATACAGCGCACACACTGTAGGACTACAATATTTCACTTGTCACCCCAGAATAATCACCTGAAGATGGTCACTGCCCTACACAGCAACACAACCAGACCTCCTTTTTCTTTCGTCCCAGAGGATGTCATTTTACAGGTCTGTTACCCCTTCCTAAGCAGGAAAAGCAACTCAACCGGATTTAATGCAAAATGTTTACTGCCGGATGGTTTTTTTTGGGAGGTATGCAAATAAAATTCCTGATTTTTTTTCTATACATGGGAAAGCCTATGCTGTTTCTAGAAGAACAGATTACAGAAACTTCACTGCTTAATAAACTGTGTATCTCCAATATGGCCTATTATCTCAGCAGTAACTGCCAAGACACAGCAAACTATAACAGCTTCAGAAGACAGAGCATCTGCTGAAGGCGTCCAAAGTCATTTCCAGTTTTCAAAAGCAAGAATTCAGTCAGCTCACTTGCCCTCCACGATTATTCAAAGCAGCCCACTAGGAAGGGCCAAGATCATTAGTGAACACATCACAAAAGATCACGTTTTAATGTAAGCATTGTAAAATTTTATGACTTTATCAAGATTAAATGAACGTTCACTATTCTTACTTCTAACAGATCTCCTAATCCCAGCTATGTTCCACAGCTCTAAAACATCTGGTGAAATGGATAGAGCACTTTGACTCCTTCCAAGACCCTGGTATTGTAGGGTCAGATTATTCTCACTTGACTAACATACGGCCTGCAAGGCTCTCTATACAGACCTGTTTGCTGACCTCCTGAAGCATTTCTAAAGGCTATTGCCCCTTTCGGCCGACGCACTGCCCACGCCGCGCCTCACGGGTCTCCCCCCCCCCCATTTCAGAGATCTGCACTGCCAGTACCATCAACCCGACGCCTTGGGGCTGTTCTGCACTTAACCGACCTGCTGCTTCTCCTTGGCAAAACGTGCCGTTGGGTTACTAAAACGTCAGAAAGCCGATCCCCGGGGACGGGGTGGGTGGGTGAGTGGGAGGGGGGAACACCTGCACCCTTTGTTGAAGCCCGAGGGAACCGCTGCAGGATGCTTACACCGCGCACACCATTTTCGGGGTGGAAAACCCCCAAAGGCGGCGCGAACCCACTTGGTTTGGGTGCGCAGGGCACGGCGGCGGGGAGGTCCCGGGTAAGGGCCCCGTCGAAGCACTGCCCACACCACCACGCCGGCGGCGGACACCAGCGGCGAGCTCCCCGCCCGGCCCCGGCGGCTGGGGGTGCTGCGGACGAGACCAGACACCCGCCGGGGCCCATCGGAGAGCAGCGGCCCCGGTCCTTTCCGCGGCCCGGCGAGGGCAGCATTACGGCGGCAGCGGGCCGAGGCTCGGCGGCGCCCGGGCAGGGACGCCGGATCCGGGGGACAGCTGGGGCCGGCGCCACCGCTCCGCGCTCCCCTCTCGGGCCTGCAGCGCCGCAGGCCGCAGTCCTGGCAGCACCCCCCCCCGCTCCCCCCCCCCCGCCCGCTCGCAGCCGCCGCCGGTCACATCCCGGGAGGCGGCCCCGCCACCCGCTCTGTCCCGCCCGCCCCGCTGCCCGGCGCGGCCGCACACTCACCCGCGTCCGTCCCGGGGGAACCGGCTCCTCGGTGCGGGGCGACAGCGAGGACCAGAGCAGCAGTAGCCCCAAGAAGCTGCCCGCCAGCAGCACGGCGCGCAGCAGGAAGCCCAGCTTCAGCCGCATCCTCCCGCCCGCCCTCTCCCTCCCGCCGCCGCGCACGCAGCGCCCGGCCCCGCGCACCGGCGGGCTTCCGCCCCCCGCGGCTCCACCGGCACCTCCTCCTCTCCCCCTTCTCCCCCGGCCGCCGCTGCTCTCCGGCAGCCACCCGCCTGCGGAGGCTCCCCCCCACCACCGCACGTACAAACTTTCTGTGTTTTTTCTCTCCTCTGTTTCGCCCCTCTTTCCCTCCCTCCCTCCCTCCCTCCCCGCCTCCCCGCTGTGCACAGCGGCCGAAGCGATGCGGAGCAGGAAGTAGCCGCCGCGGGAGCCGCGTTTCCACGTGGCCGCCCCGCACCGGGCAGCCGCTCCCGCCCCGGCACCCAGCACCCGCCCCGGCGGCAGCAGCGGGTGTGTGCTCCCGCTGCACCTGCTCCGGCCGTGGGGTTAACTGCGCCTGCACCCCGCCCGGAATAATGGGACGGAATGGGAGAGCTCGAGTCGGGGGTTGGCTTTCCTCAGCCAGCCGGATGGGCAGCTCCGCTCTGGGCACTGACTTGTAAAAATCGAGGCGCAAACGCTCAGCTCCAGTGCTTGTCACAGGGTAACACAGGCCCATTAGTTATTGTTTGCAGCCTGGGCAGACTAACACCGAAAAGTCAATAGATTTTTCTTGAGGGTAGCAGATTAAGTACGAGATTACAGAGATGTTATCGGCCCTTATCTTGCACGTAGTTTGTTACTAATTTTCTGCACTAAAAGTTAGGCATCCTGTTTCCTCCTTTGAAGGAGTCTCGCACGTGCACACACGCATGCAAACCCGATAATGTGAGCTCTTCACAAAGCAGAGTGATGCAAGAACAGTACTTCCAGTGTAATACTTTTGCTTTTTCTGTGTATTCAGTGCTATCCGCTTGCTTTGATGTTTTTCAGATCTATTTCTTGTGTGCACTGTGAGGATATCACATCCAAGGATCCTAAGCGTTAACTTCAATGATAAGCCCTGTAGAAATAAAACAGTATATTACACTCTGAACAGGATCACTTTGGAGGAAAAGAAACCCCCAACCCATACCTAAATGACTTTTGTAGTTGGACACACCTGGATACAGAAGTCTTTGTTTATTCATATAACTTGTGCTATAGCCCTGTATGATCTGCCACCTCCCTCCCCCCTCCCATTCTTTAAGAGCACAGCTCAAGACTTAGAAAAACACATTGTTCAAAGCATGGGCAACAGCTCTAATCCTTAGGAGTGTTTGCAAAGCCCTGTGACTTCCCCAGGGGGGTCCCCAGAGGTGTTTTCCCCAAAGCCCCTCCCCTGTTTTAGGTTGCAATAACCCCACAAACAACCCAACACAAAAGTTTATGTGACTGTTCCCAGGTAGATAACAGCACAAGCCTGGGAGGGATTGTTTTTTTTTTTTAGCTAGGAAAAGCATAGGGTTGAGGTGCCTGGCTCTAAGCAGACCCCTTGGCTTAGCAAGCCGAGTAGGAAAGGGCAGGTTGGGGCTACAAACCGTGAAGCTTTGTAGGCTGTCGAAAAGGTATGGAAGTGTTCCTTACAACTTTTCACTGCCTTATGGAGACCTTACTGTGGCAAAAGGTGCTCTTTCCTCCCGTTTAATTGTCCATTTTTGGGATCCCTTTTCATTGTGGGGGCTGTGAGCACATTCAAAGAGAGTGAGAAGAAAAAATAAGTTACCTTTAGCACTGCACAGAGGGCTCTGTAAAACTGGCTACATTCAAGTGATGTGATACCACTCTGCTGCTGCTTGTCAAAGCTGAGAGTGACAGGGACAGAGCCTTCTGCGTGTGAGTCAATACGATGTGAATTCACATTTGTAAAGTTGCCTGCAGAAACCTTGTTTGTTTGTTTGTTTGTGTTTTTTGTCTGCTTTTAAATGCAGGCTTATGTTCTGCAGAAACCCATGGATGAACCGTGCATCCAAGATCATCACAGAGTGCTGTACACTGTACAAAACCCAAGAGTTTGGTTTTAGACAGCGGAAGTGCCGCCATCAGTGAATTCCCCCATTAGTTGTCTGAGGGCAGTGGTTTCTGTACTGGGCATTTAAAAAAACCCTTCCTTTTCCCCCGAAAAAGAAGTTGATGCCCACTGGGAGGCAGCACGGGCCAATGGACAAGGTGTTCATGCCAGCCAGCCCCACTCCCTTCTGAAACTACCCCTGACAGCAGACTGGAAAAAGCATCATGCTTCTGGTTTACTATTACACCTACCTGCTCTGGTCCCACCACAACAGGGAGCATCATCTACATTTTTCCCTCACACACAGGCCATACAGTCTGACTGCAGAAGCATTAGGTTAATACTGACCTTGGAAGTAGGTTTTTTTTTTTTCCAGTTTTATCCTCGTTAAGGACGTGTGGAAGTTTCAGATTCTGCACTTGCAGTTTTCCCTCTGTAGTGAAGTGCCTGGAAAGACCTGCAGAAGATATTTTACATCTTGGTGAATTCATACTGGCAAAGACAGAAAACTCAAATTAAAATTGGCTTTGGATTGCCTCCAGTAACATTCAAAACTACTTTCAAAGTCTTTTACAACCTGGACAGGGAAAAGGGAGGGTTAAACATGGATTTTTGCCTCTCTCAGTTGCAAAATACTGTAGAAACCATGATGCTTTTTACAATCCATCCAGTACTAAAACAAGACACAATCCCCACTGTTATTAGGGAGTTAATCAACCTCTGTCAGACTGATATACTGTCATTCAAATGTTTCTAACAGACTGGCAACTGTCATAATATTTGTATCTGTATGTGGACATGTCTGCTGCTTGCTGCATGGAAATCATATGCTCACTTATCCATATGCCTTCAAATAAATATCCAGTAGTGTCTAAGTCTTTACAAAGCCTTGCTGCTCTTGAACTGGAGACCTACAATGACCTGGAGGTGAAGTATCCGATTACCAATCCCCTAAGCCAGGCAGTTGCCTTATTGCTGGGGATTTGGGGGATGGTGCCTGGAGCAGGGTCACTAGCAAATGTCAAAATCTCATGCAACTGCTAGCACTAGAGAAGCACCAGGATCTGGATACGCCTCTTAACTCTTGTCCTGAATATTTGGCCATAATAAAGCACTCTGCTTGCTCATTAACATAGTGTTTGAAAGGAAATTCCTACAGAACTTTTGTACCTATTAAGATGAAAACTTAAGGAAGTTCCGTAATACAACAAAGCTGCTCTGAGGGCTTCGCTGTTCATGTGCTCATCTGCAGGTTGTTTTCTGTCAACACATAGATCTCCTTTGTAAAATCTGCAAGTCAGGGACCAACTTCTCTTTCTACTGAGTGCAGTGAGCACAAAACACAAATTGTGGGTTTGGTTTTGGTTTTGGTTGTTTCCTTTCCCCCCCTCTCCCCTCATGAAAATAGGTCCTTTGAAATTAGCGATGGTGTGCCGGCGCTGGGTGGGGTAGAGTTAATTTTCTGCATAGGAACTATGGTTTGGATTTGTGCTGGAAAATGTTGCTAACACACCGATGTTTCAGTTGCTGCTGAGCAGCGCTTGCACAGAGTCAAGTGAGCAGGTGGCTGAGTGGTGTTTGTTGCCAGCTGGGGTTAAAATATGACAAATGAATTGTAGACCTCAAGCAATTTCACTTTCTTAGAAGTTTCCAGATCTAACTACCAATGCTTCATTTAATACAGCATTTCACTACACTCTAGGCTTCACGTAACACAAATTTGGTCGTGCTTTGATTAAACAAGAAAGTGCTAGAAAAAGCCAGCTGGCAGAGAGTAACTTGCTTTCCTAAACTGAATACTCTCGACACAAGCAACACCTCTGCTCCAGTAAAAACTTCCAGCTCCCTTTTCACACCTCTTCTGACCTTCCCTACTCCAGTGCCAGCTCTTCTAAAGTCATTTACATTTGAACAGTCATCTCTGAACAAATCTGATGTAGTTTTCCATATCCCTACATACTGCTACACTGCCACGGAAAACTCTTGTGTGCTGCTAACTGAACTTCTGGAGTGTCCAGGTGGAATCCAAGACACTCCTTCCCTAGTTTGCATCTGAGAAGGTAGAAACTCTACATGTGGCTGGAGAAGCCTGATTAATTTATGTTAATCAGGCTCATCCTCCCTTCTGACACTGTCCCCAGCACTGAATGATTTGCGGTGAGATTCTGGATTATTGAGGTGATACTACGATGGAGATAAAACTATGCCCTAAATATGTACAATGCATGTATATTTAACTTCACAGTTGATAAAAAGGAACTACAGGATTTAAAATTCTTCTTATTTTTAAAACAATCCCAGAAATTAAGTCAAATAAGTGACTCAGTAATATTTAATATGTGCTTTTGCAAATTAGACTGTGATGTGCTTCATTTTCATTGTTTTGTGTTAATGATCTATAGCCTTTAGTAGCATTACTCCTGTAATTCTCCTTTTTTTTTTAAACCAGAGGTTTAGCAACGTGTGTCCTACCAAAAATGATCCTTCAATATTTCAGAATTTGAATGGATGCTTTTGGCAGAGTGCAGTTTGCCTCATTTGCTTTTCCTGTCATTTTTATGAAGAACATGTTATGAAGTTCCTGTCATTACATTTAGCCCCCATACTCCTGTCATGCCTACTTATTTGGTTTTCCTCCTGCTGTATCACCTCTAGCTACTCTTCTCTTTTCCCACACAAGAGTAAATGAGCTCATTATTTTGTACTGGTCTGGATTCTACCCATGTTCTGAAGACTAATGTAAGAAGCTGGTTTTTTTTTTTTTCAGCTGCCCTTTTTGGTATTGAGTACCAATCAATGTTTATTAGCAATGTTGCATTATTAATACTGCTTTTGTCTGAAGAAATTTAACTTCTTTCAGATTTGCAAGTCCTCAAAACATCCACATTATGATGAGTGTTGACAATCCTTGACAGATTTAGATCTCATTAAAATAGTGGATGGGATGGTCTGTTATGTGGGTGTTTCATTTAAGTTTGAAGAGAATTGGATTGATTCTAAGTGCAGGTTTGCCATTTTAAAAGTAAAAAAATATTTTAAATGTCTATTTTTAATTTTTTTTTTATTTTTTTACTTTTTTATTTTTAGGAACTCTCACCTGTATTTTGAGCCAGATGTAAGTAATCAGGTCAGGTCTAGAAAATATCCTTTTCCAAGGTATCATATTTCTGAATATGAACAGAAATTAACTTGCATCATTTCCTGAATCTAGGGCAGAGAAAATTGAAATAGGTTGCTTCAATTTCTGTTATGCTGAAAAAAAAATGAGTGGTGTAACCACCCACATTTCAGATGCTGATTTACTTTTCCAGAAAGCTTTTAAAATATAGAATATTAGTGGAGTTAATGTGATGAAATTGTCAGGCTGAACAAGATCTGCAGTGCATGTGAGGTGCAAAATGGAAAATTTTCCAACTATAAATTAATGAGATTTTCGTATTTCTGGATTTTTACTATTTAGTGATAAAGTGTTGATAGTCTCACATATAACTGGTAACTTGGGAATTATCGATTCAGTATCATACTTGCTATATTGGCTGTAAAACTTCAAAAACTTTGACAGTTTTTTCTTCAGGATATATTCTGCCATGTTGCTCAAAATGAAACAAAACCTAACTACTGAAGATAATGAGCATTTATAAAGCACTCGATGAGTTCAATAAAGCCAGAGTGTCAAATCTGAGCAAGATCAAACCCTATGAAGCTTCACAGACAAATAAAAAAAGACACTTGAGACTTATATAGAAAAGCATGGACATGCAACTAGTTACTAGTCCCTAAACCAAGTATCTTTTGTTGTTCCTTAGTCACAGGGTAAGTTTGCAAAGCATTATTTCAGAAAGTGTCATTAGCCCTTTTTTTACATAAATAAGTAAAAGGTAAATTAATAACTACTGTGAAAGTCCAGTCCAGTAGATAGGCTTATACATTAACATTGAAATAGTAGAAATTGAGCAACATCACAGAGATCATCTGGACTCTGTTTTTCAGACTGGGGTCCCTGGATCCTTGGAGAATGGGGAAGGTCTCTGCAACAGAAAATGACAGCAAGACTATTGCAATTAGTCATTTAAAGTTTTCAGGACAGAGCCTCCTTCACAAATTGATGACTGGAAGTTGAGAGTCTTAGTAGCAATGAATCATAAAAGCATTGCCAGACAGCTCCAAGCTTTGTTACTTCTTCCAGATTTCGTAAGTTCTAAGTTTGATATTACCAGCAGCTGAGCTGCTATTTGGAGAGAAATTCTTAAACAGTAGATTATTTCTATTATGTATGGTCTGACACCAAGTTGTATTGATTAGTAGTTCAATGAAACGATTCTGTTGTAAAAGACATATTTTGTGGGAATTGCTTGTGGAATTGCAGGCAATAGCAGCTGTTGGATCATAACACTGCACACATTCAAGTCTTTTACTAAATATAATCATAATGAAACAGATTTCATAAGGGCTTTAGTACAACATGCAGATGCATCATTTTGTTGTAATTTCTCCTTTTTCTCTGGTCCAAAGTTACATACAGATATCCGTATTTATGAATTAAATGATTCCTAACTTGTGCAGTTTTAACTCTAGTATTGAGATAGATACTCCTTTCAACTTTTTGTTTTAAAATGTTTTCCATCTTTCTCCCAAACTGAAAGCTAAGCCAAAAAAAACCCACAACAACCCACAACCGAAAAAAACCACCCACCCAAAACCCAACCAACTTCACCGAAAAAATTCCTAGACCTGTCAAAAAGACTTTGAAATAAAGGTGAAGAACTGTAATAAAGCCATCATCTTGGCAAGCTGAGCTCTGCTGCTTTTTAGTCACCTGTGACAAGTAATAGTAACAATGGCAGGATCCCATCCATCTTCAAATACTGCAGGTTTTCAGACCTCTTAATTCACTGCCACTCAACCCCCGTTTTCTAATGTATAACTGCAGTGACTTAAAAAACTAGTGGGCTGAGTATTCCCATTAAACCAAAAATTGTCTAAAATTCCCTGCAATTAGCAAGAAGCAGATTTCTATATCGTACTTTCATTTTAATACTGGCTTAACTGAATCTTTGTTCTAAGTACTTTGATCAACCCAGGGGCATCCTTTAAGTTCAGAATTTACTTGGAGTTCACAGAGTAAGAGGGAAAAGACTAATTTAGAGTTTTGTCCTTAAAAAAAAAAAAATCAATTTATTTCACTGGTTGTAACTTGAGACTCAACACACTTATAGAGCAGATTACTGTAATTGACATTATTTCAAATTAAACTGAAGAATCGCTGATGTTTTAACAAATGAAAGCTGCTCCTGTAATAAAAAAAAAAAATAAAAATAAAAAAAACACCTTAGGCCAAAGCAAAGCTTATTCCATTCCTCATTTGCTATCAACAACTTTGACATATTTGTATGTACTTAAAAATGAACACAGCATGTGTGGGATGAATTGGTTTCCCCCCAGTCGAAATGGTGTTTTGGGACAAAGTGGAAGCAATAGGAAAACTTCATATTCCGATAAAGCATGGTGATCCACAGTAGGGCTTTTGTAGACTCTTGACTACGTGCTTGGAAAAGCTGCTCGACTTCTTACTAACCTACAAGACACAGGAAGCTAAATCATGTCATCAATACACTTTAAATAATAATATGAATTAAAATCAGCGTAACAACTTTCTTGTCTTTCAGACTTATATCCACGCGCTCTTTCAAACTTGCCCTGCTCAGCCTTTGGTGTCAAGGTGGATTAACAGAAATGAGGAGAAAGAAGCACTGTTCCTTGCTACATTTAGGTCAGCCCTTATACTCTCTTGCTTGTATCTAGGCCATGCCTAATTAATCCCAGAATATTTCATCACTGCTGGATTACCTCTGTCAACTTCTCCCACGGAAACCTGGCAGCAAAAATTTTTACCTTAGGTGAGGAAATTCCCTTTTCTAAAGACAAATGGGTGTGTGGTTTTTTCATCATTTAACTACATAATGTTTTTGCAACAACTTTCCGAGCCCTTAGGATATAAAGCATTTAGCAGGGTGAATACCTTCACTTGAAATTAGTGGAGCGTTGCACTGATTTAAATAGAGCCAGGATTTCACCTTGAATTGTTTTTAGGATAAAAATTACTGGCTATGACTTTCTCAACTTTAAATTTGATGCTGCTATTCAAAAGAATCACATTTTTCTTCTTTTTCTAAGCTAAATGTGAATACAAGGTGTTTAATCAAACTCAAATCAGAAAGATCAGATCTGCAAAATAAAGTAAGTACTCCACCTAAAATCCTGTTGCAAACCAGAATTTAAGGGGCTGAATTGTACCTGTGCACTTTAAGCTGCAGTCTGCAGTATTCTGTGGTATTATCAGAATTACATAAACAGTTTGCAGAGACACTCACATCAGCGTGGGAGGTTCTTAAAGATGAGCTTCATTGTGGAGCAGTGGATACGCAACTGCTGACCACTGAAAAATAATCCAGCACACTTACTGAAGTAGGATACACTGTATCCGTGTTCCATGTATTACAATAGTGATGCACAGAATCATAGTACTAAAAATAGAGCATTAATGGCATTGCTAAATTTATATGCATTTATGCTAGTTGCTGGGTGTCTCAAGCAATACCATGTTTGCATCCTGAGGGCAAAGTATTGTGACTTTTCAAACCAGAGCTCTATAAACATGCATTATTCTCGTATGCACAAGGCCACATGATTTTTTTTATACCTGATGGTAAAATACTAGATGAGAAGACATATTACTACTTACTACAGAAGAAGAAATACCTGTTCTTGGAGGTCTATTAATATGCACTTAAACATAGGCCAAGAACAGCACAGGCATTTTTCTAGTGGGTGAGGTAACTTTTTTAACTCCACCCTTATCTTTTCAAATTACGCCCTTACAATCTCCTTTAATTAATCATCAAAAGGATTTTCAGTGCATTTGGTACAGCACTATTGTCAAAACCCTCATTAAAATGCTTCTACTGATACCTTAAGAATTATGAAATATTACAAATGTAAATAGGATGCAGACTTTTCACATACTTGTTTTCCTTTCCTATGACAGTTGATTACTAAAGCTATTCATAAATGCTTGATACCAACACATTCAAAAAATCCATATTGAAAAACTCATTTTAAATTTCATTTGAGAAACAGTCAAATCAGTATCAACCATGAATTTTGCCTAAGTTAAGATTCACCTGACCTTCAAATGTGCAGTTGTGGATGAGCTGATACCTATATTAACATGCCTTACATCTACATACTGTGTTTGAGAAGCTATCTTATATTTTAGATCACATTAGAAGCAGGAAAGCAGATTTTCTTAGGTGCAGCATGAGTGCATCTGTAGCAAAAGTACATAGACATGTATCTCATTCCATAGCCAAAGCTGTGAAAATGTCAAATTCCACTGTCTTGCGCTTAGTGTTTTAGGATGAACCCACAGAGGTAATAAAATAATGTCATTCATTTTGATAAGTTAAAAAATGCACACAGGCTGGTGATGTGATAGTAAAAATAATCTGAGATAGTGTAAATCCTCACAGTTCACACTGATCTTCCACTGAGGTTGCCTGCTATGACACAGGACTTCAGCGTAGGAGATGGACTCTAATCTTTTCCATTGTGACCCACATTTCTGGCTGTATTTCAAGTCCTACAAGTGGTAACAGTGTGCACTAAGGCAGGTAGACTGCCTGGATTCTAGTCATGCAGCTCAGTTCAGAGCTGGTGAATAAGTAGATTGGTATAAGTGTTTCAGTCAGTGACAGGCTTCTTGATGCTATGCATTAAATAAGATAAAAATAAGCTTGATGGTGTGGGACAGGGTATGTTACTGAGAGATTGTAGTGTATTTTTCCTTTTGCTTCAGAGATGTTACCACTTCTTTATCACTCGTTGCACAAAGGGTGGTTTAATGGTGGTAACTATAATGACACCAAACTGTTCTCTAAACTTGTCATTCCCCATCATGTGCAGTGTCCACTAGGCTACTAAATTTTCATCACTGTTTTCTGACCAGCCTCTCAAATTCATCAGCCTTAAGTAGACTGTAAGTGAAAGTTACGGTTGTTGGATTTATCTATAGTCTTCATGACATCAGCTTGATGATACAGAGATGGATGGGCACTGGGAATTATTTTTGTGGATTATACAAGCTCTGAACTTGGAGTATTAGTGCCCTGTACACAGCAGAAAAACACAAAGTTGTTATTCCAAAAATATATTAGTCACTTTAACTTAAAAAGTGACTAGAATCTGGATTTTAGACTGTTAGGCATAATTTTCATTAATTAAACAAGTAGTTATTGCTTTGCAATCTAGGCAGAGATGCACTATTACCTTCGGCAGGAGTGATCAATTACTTGCACTCTCTGAAAGAGTAAGTGCCTATAGTACATGTAAAATGCATGCAATTATCTTCAAAAAAGCTTTTAAGTTTTTCTGAGTGGCTGCACAACTTGAATTGGTGTTGAAATTTAAAATACTTCATTGTATGCCTCCCAGAAATTGCTTCATCTGATAAGTGTCCTCTCTGATCATTCAAAGCTTTCACCAAATCCTTCCTCCCCTCCTACTGCCCTTTTGTTAGTCTGTCATCACTCCCTATCTTCTACCCTCCCCCCCCCAAAAAAAAAATAATAAAAAAAATTGCTTTATACAGTATAAGTTCCTCATCAGGCTACAACCTTGATACCAGGATTTCCAGTTTCCTGGTCAATTATCTGGGTACAGTTGAATAATTCTCTCCCTTCAATTATCTCCATTACGAATCCAAATGTTCCACCCTGCCCCACGGTGCATGGACAGGACCAGCACCAGCATCAACATCTACACTCACTACACAGACTAAGAAAAAGCCAGACCTCTTTAAAGTTTCTGATGTCACAGCCTTCTTCCTGCTACTTGCAGGCGTGGGAGAAACTTCTCAAAGTGATCAAATAAGCCTCCAGCACTTTAGGGTAATGCCAGTCTGTCATTGATGCATCCTGAGACCTAGTATAAAATACAAAGAATAGGCAGATGGATTCACAGGCAGATGAATTCATTTATAGCTCTCAACTTCTGACAGGCAAAGTCCTTAACAAATACATGCACCCTGCCCAAGTTTATGACTTTGAGGTTCCTCACCTCTGCACAACAGCACATGCCATCATTACAACAGTTCTCATATTGAATGTGCTGACACCCTGGATTCTAAAGAAGTGGCAGAAATCAAGCAGGCAAATCTTTATGTAGTTCTCTGAACACACTCAATTTTGCACTAAACATAAGCTCAGGGGTTCAGAGTATGTTCATCCTAATGTGTTTTGTACCTAGATAAAAAAAGATGGTGATTTGTTTGTTTGTTTCTTTTGACCTAAGAAAGTCCATTGCTGCTTATCCCAGACCTGCAGTACTGTTCTGTCTGACTTTTTAAATAAAGTTGTGTAGTTACAGAATGACATTATGTAAATTGATCTGCCCAGAAATGCTTAGCAGATGCAACTGGTTTTCTTCATTCGCCTGTGATGTTGTGTTTCAAATTCAATACATTATTTTATGTATCCTGCTGACAGTGTTTATTTTTACAGCCATGAAACTCTCAGTGCTTGTCTATTCTTCCTCAACGCTAACAGTGCTCTGAACATGGCACTGGCTCACTGAAGCAATGAAAATGAAATAAGAGTCATCTTCGAAATGAGTCTGCTTAAAGTCAGGACAGAGATTCCCTTGTCTTCTGATTTTGAAATTTTAGCATGTAAAATGCAAAAACATCCTAGGAGCTCTGCAGGCTCAGCAGGGGAATACAAAGTTTGAGTGCTGTCATGCTGACCTGGTTTGGCTCTTTACTTATCTTTCTCTGTCTTTTTGCTTTGTGCACTGTTTGCTGTGTATCTTTGTCCCGTGTTTGCTCAGTGCCTAGCCTAGCACATACGAGTCCAGTCTGTAACTAGAGCACCTATAGCATGGTGCACAGACTTACAGTCTCTTAATCCTAGAAGCTGAGAACTCAAGCATGCACACACAACCTACTTACCCGAAGTTTGAGTGTGTTTTCTATAGTTATAAAAACCCTGCAGGCATTTCAAAAGGCATACCTGCACTAATTGGAGTCAGTATCACTTGCAAGCCAGAGCTTTCCTCATAACCTCCAACTGCCATGGGTCCCCCCAAGTTTTAACACTCATATCATCCTGCTTCTTTGAGGACATGTTTGAAAATGAGTTTCAAACTCACAATCTACCTCTAAACCAGTAATAAATCCTGTTTCAATTTTGATTTCAATAAACCAGCTTGCATAGCAAGTCACAGCTTCCATTACTGTTAAGTTGCTTAATTCCCTAAGACCCCTGAGGCTGTACTACCTGCAGCTTTTTGGTTCTTTTGACTGGGTATTTAATCTCCAATAATATAAGTACCTTTTGTGCATCAAATACTATATACCACTTTTTCTGGTTGTATTTTAATAAGCTTCCACCACTATTTTTATCCAATCATTCTTAAGATCCACAGGCCAGATGCTGACTATGTAGAAACCATGCAGCTCCAAATACATCAAAGAAACTCTATTCATTTGTCCCAGGATTTGGCTTCCTACTTCCAGTTTTAGCAGACTTTTCTTCAACTAATCTTACAAATACCTTAACCACATCCACTTCCTACTGTACCCTCTCAATCTCTTTCAATTACCTCCTTCTTAACATATAACCCCTTCGTAATTCTTTCCTTTTAAATCCTTTTAAATCCTATTTTTTCTCCTTTTTTTTTTTTTTTAATTAGCTAATTGTTAGAAGCATTTGTAACTCTTTGAAATTGTACTTCTGAATGCATTGTGGTATGTTGACTCTAAGGGCTAAAGTTTCTAAGCAGCTTTCAGAGTAATGAGATTTGTGTGCATGACTCCCTTGCGCTGCTTTAAAGATTTACTCCTTAGAGTTAAGAGATTTTACAAAAAACAGTTTCTTTGTGCTCCTGGCTTGTAAACAATGTGCACAGAGCATGCAGCCTTTACCATGCAGTTACCCTTTTCACAGTTACTTGTTGTGCCTGAGGAGCTTGTGAACATCTATCCCTAACATGCAATTTTATAACCTAAGGGTGCTTCATCCTTCACAGCAGCTGTTACGCTCTGCACTTTTTGTCCAATTTGCCTTCAGTCTGCACTTCCCATTTGTATGTGTAAAATATTTGCACTACGCATTCCTCAGGCAACAGCAGGCAACTCATTCTTTTCTTCACCTGACTAACATTTCCACCGGTAACTGGCAGCAACTTGTAGGTATCTCATGTGAAGTTTCAGTCCAATCTGAAATGGTAGACACATGTGCCGTATTTCTCAAGTTAGCAATGCCTACAATGTTAATCTAAAATGCCTGGGTATTGCAGGCTGGCTTGGTTGCCACAATTGTTCCTGATATTTCACAGTCTGTTATACTTTGTATTATTATTTCACATCATGTTTCATGACAAGTAAGCCTACCTAGCATCTAATTAATGCCTGCAGTACGCTTGACCTGGTCATTTGGGTTGGGCTTGCTGAGCCTAAGTTTGAAGGCCCTTGTTTGCTCTTATGCTAAAGCCATAGCACAGGTATGCCAGCGTGCCACGTGGCTAGCTGGCTGTGCCAAGCAACATGGGTTGGCTTCACTGATTGTGCCAATTGGTCCTGGAGTATTTGCATTGCCTGAGGTAAGCCCGGCACTCCTCCTTCCACACCTGCTGCTGGGTGTACTCTCCCCTGGTGCTGCGGGACAGCCATCAGTCTGAACCCCAAGGTTAGTGCTCCCTGATGTGAACCAGGGCACAGTCACATATGGTTGCTTTTTTTTCTCTTTCACAGGCCTCCCCCAGCACAACTAAACCACCTCCAAGCCTGCCATTTTCTTCAGAGCTAATCAAAGCATGTGCAGAAGCACTTTGCATCCTGAAAAAACATGTTATTCTACTGCTTCCTCCATACACCACATTCTGAGATCTGAGGTTTTGCCTTGTTTATAGCTTTTCAGTTAACTAGTTGATTCTGTTAATAATGAGCTATGTAAAATATAATTACAAATAACTGGAGAATAAGAATGTTATGCAGGTCTCCTGTAAGGGAGGGAGGGAAGGATAAAAGCTACCTAGTACAGGTTTTCACACATGGCATCACTTGCCCTCCCCTTTCCTCAGGGATTATGGGACTTTAGTGACTTCATGATGACACTGTTATCATGAAGTTACACATATACTTAAGTCATAGCCAAGGTACTAAGGCTTGTGCTGGGTCTGTTCTTCACACTGCCCAAAGCTGTGTATTGGCTTTTCCATAATTAAGATGGCACTGCTCACTGATTGCATTTAACTGTTCCTTGACCTAACAAAAACAAAAAGCCAACCAATTAAATGTTAGCTGCAGAGCTTTTAAAGACCCTAGAAAGCATTAGGGTTACAAGAATACTATGCATTGCAGATAGACATGAAAAGCTGAATGACAGGTAGGAAGACAAAGCATAAAGAAAAGTTAAGACTTGAATATTTCCACTTGTTAAGGTGTTCAGAAGCTTTCTTAATCATGCTCTATTTCTTCCTTGTAACCACTATGCTTTTATAATTATTTTAAAAATCCTTAACTTCTTAGTAATACAACTTTAACACCAAGCGTGTTCTGTAGGTATTTTAAAGTGGTGGTTTAAAAAGTTTCCTGCATTCAGAATGACCTGCTTGCTTAGTATGCACTGGGAGTAGAGGAGGCTGCAGAATCAAGGATGTGGGTAAATCCTCAATACACATTCCCATCCAGCACCTTTCAGTTTATTCAATTTAAACACAGAGAGATGGGGGCTGGTGTTTTTGCTACATTTGCTGCCCAGTGATGGTACTTGGCATAGCTACTTTAGGAGAGGTGAAGGAAAGGAAGGCCAGGCTTAGGCTTTTGTTCCTTGGCCGGTGTAGCGTCTCAGGTCAGTGAGCCAGGCTGCACAGTTTGCTGCTGTGCATTCAGTCTCTTTCCCATATTAACTCCAGCAGCCTTAATACACCTTTGGGGGGGTCGGGGGGAAAGTGCTTTTCTTCTCAAAATACTTATCATCAGACACAGCTTATACAGGTTTAAGGAATTGTTACACAAATGCTTTAAGCATGCAAGAGTGAACTCCTGCAATCATATACAGCCTTAAGCGTGACAGTGTGCATCAAGAATTGTAATTCTTTGAAAAGCTTTCCAATGAGAGGATTATCATGCCTGGATCCAGTAAAAGGACACAGCAGTTCCCACAAATTCAGCCTGTCATAAGTGGTAGGACTAAGCTGTCTCTAGGATCCTAGATCTGATACTGTAACCAGTATCTCCGCAAGCAGCGTGCCATGTTTTACATCTGCTCTGCCAAGCCCTGGAGTGAGAGAGTGCAGAAGAGAAGCCAAATGAAACATACTGATGCCAGCTCTTGTGGCTCTGGACCTTTTTCTGGTGAAATTTGTATGCCTGCCACTGGCAAGCTGTTTTGTCTTGCCAGCTTCAGAGTTGTGCCTCTTCCTCTTTGAGGCTAAAGCTTTCTGGGATTTCTAAAGGTCTCTGGGGATCTTCTCTGGACTCAGCTGGCTTTTCCAGCAGGAAGCACTTTTGTTGCTATGGCGGAGTGAGCCAGGGCCGCTGCTCCACTCAAGAGGTTTAGGGACTTTCTTCCGAGGCATCACTGCCACAAGTAAGGCAGCAATTAGGAGAAGCTTTCAGGTATTACAAGATTATGTATGCACTACCTGACTTATCTGACATGGCATCCTTTGCTGCATATAGGTAGCTACATGGGTTATAAAGCAAATTCTTTCTTTTTTTTTTTTTTTTTTTTTTTTTTTTCTATTTGGTAACTCAAAAGATCCATTTTAGGAGCTCTTCTATACTTAATTAACTTCACCACAGCTTGACAGCATGCACTTCAGTATGGTGGGTTGGTGGTGTACCCTGCAAGGGCAGTTACAGCAGCTTCATCTCATTGGAGATAAGCCAAGCAGCTATAGGTATTCTCCTTGTAAATTACATTTCATGAAGAACTAGAGGGCCCCTTGCCCCCACCACAGGTACAACTACAGTTCACAGAGTCACAAATCATCTGGCACTGCAGATCCCAAGCACCCTCCCTTGGGTTTAACTTTGCTTATGGGAACATCTCCATGCAAGTAAACTCATATTTGGTCCTTGCACACATCTGTTGCCATTATGATTGATAAAGCTTAAAGAGAGGCCTGCAATACAGCTTTGGGACCAGATGTGCTCTGATGACAGCAGTACAAAATTCCCTTGTGCCTGTTCACTTTGCTCGCAGGACACAGCCAGACCAAGAGACATTTAGGAGCTTCTGTTAACCCTCTCCAGTAAAGACTAAGTTCTATTAAAAATAAAAAATACAAAAAACTTCACAAGAAGCTAAACACTCCTTACATGCCACATGCTATAAAAACTCAGACCTAAATCACTACTGCCTTTGAAAGAATGTCAGTTAACACACACCAGCCCCTCACAATCTAATCCTTTAACTTAAACTACTTAGCACACGAATGAAAACCTTAGTTAAAAACAAAGCTGTAAGATTTAAATGCGTACACATACTGACAAGAAAAGTCTTAAACCACTTTTAAATTGTCTGTAAATTGCTGGTCTTCTGGGTAGAGTAAATATTTTGTGGTGTACCGTTGTCTCTTCATCTGAAATGCAAACTGTTTTCTTTATTACTGATATAACACTTATGCTTTTTTAAAAAATGAGCTGCCATATTTGCGTATGCCAGCCACTGTGCTTAGACACCAAGCAAAGAATGTCGTGGCAAGCAAATAACAGAAAAATGTTCAGTTTGCCTTCCTTACTTCAAACGTGTGCTTTAAAAGGGAAATATTTTACCCCAGGTTTACTTTGATGGAAGCTCTCAGGGAACTGAAAGTGTTATTCATGGCTAGACTGTCTTTAGTTTCATCACATATGTGGTGCCAAGTCTGTCCTGAGAACCACCACAGGTTCAGCTTTTTAAGAGTAAACTAGCTGAAGATTATTTCAATAATGGGTCAGATGAAAGACTGATGCAAGAGAAAGATTTTTTGCATGGAACAAAATTTCAGCAACATCCCATGTACCAAAAGTAACTAGCACAAAGGACATGGGATTTCTGTTTTTGCTCTGAATATATTGGAAGTTAGAATATGGTAGCTCCTAAACCAAGACATGCTTTCCTACAATTCGCATTTCTTAATGCAAAAGCTATATCAGAAAGAGGGAAGAGGCAAAATCCCGTTTCTCACCTAGTCCATGCCACATTGTCTATCAGCCTAAGAGACTGCTGGTATCGCCTGTACTGCAAAAAAAAGTACCTTCTGCTTATCTCAGCAAAAACAGTAAGGAGCACAGCAGCAACACTAACAGCACTGAGCATGCTGACTGCCACATGGGGTAGGGAAGCGATGCCATTTTGTCTTTGCTCAGCAAGGCTCACACTGCACCAACATCCTTGCCAAGCAGCCAGCAAGCAGATATGGCAGGCTACAATTTCTTGAGTTAGAGCTTTGGAAATAGGTTAGAGCTCCCAAAAGGTTGCGGTACAGATCTTAATTTTGTAGCATGCTGTTTAGAAGAAATAAACTGAAACCAGCAAATGCAGCTTGATGTGATCTTTTTATAATCCTACATCCATGGTTATTAAAGACCTGTGTGCGTTATTAAAGACCAGTTGGCTAGTGTCCTTTGTTGGTACCACATTCATAAGCTCTTAACAGCAAAGACATCTGCATTTTCAGAGGGCCACAGTGCAATTTTGTCTCCCCACTCTTCTCTCCCTATCTCAGCTGCTATTTCAGAAACATTTAAATAAACAGCTCTTGCTCTCTGGTCTAAGCAAGAACTGCGAGTGACTTCATAAGTTCATGACACTTGCCAATATCAAACAGTTTAGTCACTGACCTGATTTTGGGTTAGGGACGTCTCCTTTCAGTTGCAAGTCCTAGTGCTTGGAAAGGCAGGGTCATATCTTCTTAGAGGGCTGCAAACGCAGGTTTCTTGTCATGAAAATGGTGGAGCTACAGCTGGTCAGTAATCAGGAGGTACAAACAGGAGCCCCTAAAGAAAAACAGCTCAAAAAACCATCCCTGAGAGTGAATCTGTAAAAGCTTTACGTAACCATTGGTATGATCTGTTGCTGTGTAGAACTGGTGAGGACCTGGGAGATATGGGATTGCTCAGGTGGCAACACCCCCCACATCCTGACTGCAGCCTCCTGTGCTGGTGCCAGCACGGACCCTCTTAGGTCACCTGAAGTGTGTGGGGAGGCATTTTGGAGGGATGCACTATTGACTGGCTTCCTGCTCTTAATTTAGGCTCTGGGAAGCACTGAGGAGATAGCATAACCAAGTAATTTACTTATAGTACCTATCTTTTCACCTAGTTTAGGCAGTAGCTACCGAGCCAACCTCTTTAGCAAGGGGCTGTGAGTTATTAGCATGCAGGTATTGCTCCTGGGGTTAGTCCCCCGGCTGAGCTTTCTCAGCTCTTCCCACTTGTCTGTCTGTCTGTCTTTCTGACTGCTGGAGTTACTTTCCCTCTACTTGTCAGTTTTGCTTTCCCCCTGGCAGAATGAAAGTTTACCCTGGAATTTCCTTAAAGTATCTTATTAGCTGTAAATCACTAGACACATTTAACTAAGCCAGTGGTGAATATCACTTAATAATCACATAGGCAGAGAAAAAAAACATTTAAAAAAATCCTGATTTTTTCCCCACCTCACCTTAAAAGCCCCCCCCCCCCCCAATTATTAACCAAACACAACCAGACATGAGCACCCCACTAGGCATCCTCTTCTGCACCCATTCCCCAAGGCCTCCAGTTGAAAAGGTCACTACAGTCTCCTTTCAAAACCAAGGGGGAGACCCTGCTGCTGACCAGGAAATCTGTCTCCTTCCTACCCAGCTGGGGCAATGCATTGATCAGAGCTCACAGCATTACCAATTGTGCAGACAGGCAACATGCCTTTCACTGGTGCAGGGAATGGTGCAAGTGCCACCACTGAGAAAATAGGCAGCTAATGTATGGAGCTACTGCATGAGCTGGTGGTGTCACAAGCTTTTCAGGATGGAAATTCAGGCTGTGGGAGGCTGCATTCTGCAAGTGCTTCCAAATAGCTGCTGCTAACATAGAGCTGTCTCTGGAGGCTGAGATATTGTAGCTGCTGCTGACCTCCTCTGTTGGAGCAATCTCCCTCCTGCCCAGCTGTGGTGATCACAGACTGCTCTCACCTTTTCCTATCCACAGGCAGCAGGAGGGGAGGAGGTCAGAGCCAGGCTTGGAAGCTCCTCTGCTTCGAGACCAGCAGGAATACACATGGCAACATCTCAGCCTTGAAGTAAAAGACAAGTCAAAGCAAAAACCCACTCAGCCTCCTTGTCTGTCTTCCTGTGCTGAAATGTTGTGGGTTTAGTTGATAAATGTGCATTCGTAACTGCTGTATAACTCCTGCCTATCGCTTTTCCCTGCAACCAGGGATAAGCCACTTATTTCAGACTAAGAGACAGTCCTGTCTCCTTTCTTTTCTCCCTGCTTTAAGTCTTATTACTCTCCTGATGTGTCCTTACCTGCAAAAGATCATTAAAGATTTTTCTTTTAAGCTTTGCACCTGATGTTATCAAGGGTAATTAGATAATTGATACACAATTCACATAAGTCTATCCTGTTTCTTGATACATGCTTTCCTCAGTCTGTGGGATTTAAATGATGCAAATGGGAGAATTGTCTGCTGGTTTACTGCATTTAACTCTAGGCTATGTTAAAAGTAATGCCTAATTGGTTTTGATGTATCTAAAGCCCTTTATTGTTCTTTTCGTAATATTTTTCCTTCATTCTTAGTTGTTCCCTTGCCAAAGGTAGTGCCTATCATGTAAGTGACTCTATCCTCATTAGGGACTTGATAGGAGTTTTGTTGTTCATAAAATTCCCGCCACTTGTATTTTGTTTTGTTGTTATAATCACCACTTCATTTTATCTATCTTCATTCTAGAAAAATATTTACCAAGGTTTATTTAGTAGAAGAACTGCTTGTAAAGAATTAGTCCCAACAATTTGTCTGGAAAGTTTATGTAGAAAATAGTTTATATAGAAAGAGTTCAGTTAAGTCCTGCCACAACTCCGTCATATGCAGTGGATGTCAGGGATGAATTTAACCAAGTAGTTTAGATTAGAAAGTTTTAGGGTAGAGGTACAGCACTGAAGAACTGCAGTGTATGGGTATGCATAAAATTAAACTACAAGGCTTAAAGTGATGCAAACAAAAAAAGAAAAATCATCCATTTAGAGATAAAGAAAGATAAGAAGCAACCTTTCCTTCCATAGTCTTTGAAGATGATTGACTCTTACTGTTCCTCTATGACTACTAAACTTCTGCAATGTGGGTACCCTCCTTTAGCAAGCTAATCCTGTTTAGGAAGATGAGGTATATTATATCTTATCAGCTGTAGGCAGAAGAAGAACCAGTGGCACTGGGAATATCTAAGTTTGTTGGGTTTTTTTGGCGTGGAAAGGGGACAGCTAAATCTTAATTTGCCTGACTTTTTACTAGGATACGAGTCCTCACTGACTTTTTCAATGCTTCCGTATTTACCACTTGAGGCCTGTGATGTGTGTATGCCTGTTTTGTCCTCCCTTCTATATCTGCCTCTCATTTCAGTGGCCATCCAAGATATGATTTACAGTATTGTCAGAGCTAACAGCGCTCTTTGTTGGAGAAGATGACTTTGGTTTCTCTTTCTGTTGATATTACACAGCTGGTGTGGCAGGGGACTGTGGGAACAGCAAGCAGCCGTATGGCCCTGGGCTGGGTGGGCTTGCCTGCTCCTTCACTCACTCAACACAACAGGTTATTTTAGCAGCAGTAGATGTACGACAAATAGAAAGATTAATGCTGTGGCTTTATTCATTCAGATCATGGTAATTTTTTTTGAAAGTGTACTTCAGCAATTTTTTACTTTGTATTCTGTAATGTAATACATCCAAATATAAAATAGGGCAGGTGTACAATTTTTATTCCATAATTCAGTTTCTTAATTACAGTCTAGTATTTTACAGGCATGTGCTCCCTGTAAATCCTTTAAACATGTCTTGAAAGTATTATTTTAATGCATCAGTAAGTTGGTCAAAGCTTCTACAGCCATTAATAACATCTAAGCCAACTATCTGTGACTAGTCAGCACAGAAGTGAATATTTCCATTTTACTTATTATAATGTATATATTACTAATTGTAGTCTATTGTATAATACTTATGCACACACCTGAAAATATTTTCTCCATTTTTTTCAGACAGCTATATTTCCTAAATTACAATAACCAAATAATTTGACCTTGATTCCCAGAAAATTAAGACAACTCCATCTTACTTGTTGATCGATCTCTGCTAGCCACCTATCAGCCCAGCTCATCACTGGCTGCCTTGTCACTAACACATTGGTTAGGGATTACACGAAGTTGTCTCCAGCTTTTCTTGGCCCTTTCAAAATAGTTTCTAATAGTTGATTGCCAGGGAGTGTTTTGTCCTGAATGTTGTGTAACAGCTAGCAAAAGCTGTAATTCCAGACTCTCAGAAAAGCGAGAGAATTTCATATTTTGCAGGATACCTGCAGGAAAGAGATGCCTGGAAAACACGCTGACGACCAGAAAGGCTAGTTGCTGAACAGAAGCACCTTAGAGGTTCAGAAGGGACCACAAATTCCTATTTTGCCACCTAATGCTTGGTAAACTGCATGTGTGTTTATGTGAATAGGACTGCTATGAAGAGTTAAGAATGAAGAGAGCGCAATGGACTACATCATCTGGAGAGCTTGGAGATACCGAGCAACTTCAGCCAACAGGGTCTGAGGTGGAAAAACGCAGGTCAGGCCAAAGCTGTAAGGAATGTACTCATTGCAGGGACAGCAACAATGGAAAATGATTCCCAACCCCAAAGATCAGGTTTATATAGCCACCATGGTTCAGATTTCTACGAAAAATTGGAAGCAGAGCCTTGATGAAGCATCATTATCCTTCCAGGTGTTGATTACCATGATACGTTTCAGTGTAGAGCAGTAGCTGCAATTTTGGAGGTTGATATGACAGAAATAAAGGAAAACAAGCTTGGGGGGCCTTATTTTTCTTGTATATGAATTCTCTCTTCCTTGGCTGACAATCCTTTTAACAGTGCATTTATACAGCCCTCACACTGGTATTCTGATTTCCTAGGAACTCGTTTAGTGAAGGGACAAAGTACAACTTCTATCCATGTGTTCTGTTTACAAATAAATTACTCTGCAGGTGTATAAAAATGAATAGGTAATAAACGAAAGGGTTCTCTACCAATAGGAAAGAAAAAGTGAAGTTTTACTGCCATCTCTGCAAACGTAGCTTTGATAATATGAATCATTGGGACATCTTTTTATAGATATCAACTTTGCTGACATATTGGGGAATAAACTGGAAACCTGAAAGCAAAAGCTGCTGCATGCTGGACAATCTCTCTCTTTTTGGGGTTTTGCCCTGCTGACTCTCTGCAACTTGACTAGAAGTTAACCTGTGGTGTCATGTGATCATCACAGATCATCCATTTCAGATTTGAAATAATTCCTTCAATTAAAGTTGTTATAAACCCTCGGTAGCTTGCACAAAAGAAGACATTTTAATATAACTCCAACTCAGTTTCTTGTATCTATGTTAACTCAATAAGGATAATCACAAGTTAAAAACCTGCTTGCCAAGGTTAAGTTCAGCTGTTTCTAAACATACATAAGAAGAATATCCACTGAATAAGATCTGTCTGCTCTTACACATTCCTCTCTCTGGGCAGCACTGAACTTTGAAGATGGGTGAGAAAGTAGAGCACCAATGCAATTTTCTCCCTCAAAGATAACTCTTCCATGGACAAAATCTGTAGTGAGATTGACCCATAAGGATAGAAGTTATCCCTTGTCTTCAGGTGCCTTTCTACCCCCCAGCCCTCTGCTAGCACAAGCAAGAAAAGTACCCCAAGGCAGAAGAGCTTGTGCCTCTGCCAAGTCAAGATCAAAGCAGCTTTAGTCACTCATATCTTGAGGAAGGGATCTGCAACAGCAGAAACACCTCTTGGCACAAAACAGAAAGGAGGGAAGAAAAGACCAGCATTCTGACAGAATCCTGCAAATGGGGAGTCAGCAGAAGGGAAGAAACACCAAGCAGTAAGAAGAATAAAGAAAATAACCGAAATGGATAAAAAATGGTGAACACTGCAAGGGTTCATGAAGGCAGAGTCACACTGTTCCTTTTTTTTTTAAGAGCTGTATGTGATGTCTGAAGAGAAACATAAGTTGTCTTGATCCACACAGGGAGCAGGCAGAGTTACTTTGTACCGACCTGGGCTGGCGTTTCTTGGAAAATTTAGCCGAACACTTTTCCTCTTTCAAAAAAGCCTGAGATGCAGAGAAATACTAATCTGAGGTAAAATGGTGATCATAATGTTCTGCTTCTATTCATTACCCACATAATAGCTGCAGGACAGCACATACATACCTTTGGTGTAAAACTCAGTGCTGGCTTGGTATCCTCCAAAGCTTTGCTCTAGTTGCACTCTTGTATTTCATATCAACAAATTTCAGATTATGCAGTTTTCATTATTCTAAAATTAAGTAAATCCTTTGTAGGAGGACTGATTGCCTCTCAATTCCTGAATATTTGTGATGGAAATAAACATGATATGAAGAGG